GTGCGTTCTACATAGTCTCCCTGAACACAAGACCAAGTTGCGACAACGAGGTCAACCCACTTCTATGTTAAATTAAATTTAAACATGAGGCCTACTGATATTATTGTGGGAAAATTTAACTTCCAATCCTTGATCACCTTAAACGAAATTGAGGGATCAGATCAGATCTACTGGAAGTCTCAAAAAGCTATCATAAACGGAGCATAGACATTAACATTTTCTCAAAAAGTCATCACAACATACTTGAGTTACTCTCTTGTTAAGTCGAGCCGAGTTTGCGATCCTCTCTAACTCCTGTCCGTCCGGATTGGCTTCAAGCTCGAAATTCATCTGAAGTATGGCCAGCTGATCGGGTGTAAAGCTAGTTCGCACTCGTTTTGCCTTGCCGCCGCCCCCGCATCCTCTGCCTCCACCACCACCAGCACTGCCACTGCCACCACCTCCTCCCCTGTTGCTGTCGCAACTGTTGTCTCCAACCCCGTCACCAGCACTGGGATTTGATCCACCGCCTCCGCTTCCGTCTCCCGGGAATCCCATTGTACGTCCTTCTTTGACCTGACTGCAACAACCCTGCGTCATGTACTCCGTCTCATCGTCAAGTCGGCCAACAAGGTCAACGTTGCGACTTAAACACACTCCCAAACTCGAGACTTCATCACCTTCAGCAGACCCCAGAGTCTGCAGGCCCACCAGCCCTCCAGGCACTACAGAGCCTAGACCTCCGCAGTCAGGCGTCATGGGGAAACAGCCGGCTGACTGAGTGTTGATCAGTAGGCCAGCTCCTCTTCCTCCTCCGGCGTCTCCAACCTCACCACTACAGTAACTATTGCCACTACTGCTGGCACTACTGCTCAGCTGGCTGCCCTCGCCGTACAGACTGCCTGATCCACCGCCACAGCCTGATTCACCTGGAACAAACTGGCATTTGCCATCCTGACAAAGATCGTCCCGACTCAACTTCAGACAGGATAACAGCAAACTGGAGGCCTCTTTGACGCCAGCCGGAAGAAGACCAACACGAAAATTGAGCTCTTCTTTCCAATGAGAAGCCAGCTGAGTCAATTCACATCCAATCTCATCTTTCCTCTCGTTCCCCTGACCCTCCGCCGCCTCCTCCTCCTCCTCCTCCTCCCCCTCATCCTCATCCTCCTCCTCCTCATCCTCCTCCT